GCTCCGATCTGGCCGCGCTTCCGAGACCTTGGCTGCCCAACGCCAGGGGATCCCGGTCGATCCCTTCCCAGCATGGGGCAGGGGGTGTCCCAGGCGGCCCCCGGGGTCTTTTCGGAGCCTCCCCGTTTTAGGGGCCTGGACGAAGCCGCACCTGGGCTGTTCTAGAAATTAAGACTCACAAGATTTCCACGGGTGACCAGAGAGGTTTATTGCGCAAGGTTCAGTGCAACACAAGAAGCAAAGACTGAACGAAAGAAAGATTCTAATGCAGTTACACTCATACATACTTTTGACATTTTAGGATTGGTTACATTTCTGACAGCCCATAGCGATCATTCCGCCCCCCCCCCCCTTTGCTGCTATACCCTACAAGCTTACTAACGTGTTTCCCCTCTTCAGTGGGTCACAGGTGTTCTTGCAAACCTATCTAAGTTTCCGGCCGTTATGTCTGTGGTTACCTCCGCTTAGCTAGATGTGGTATCTTGCTCCTGATGGTGTTTCCTGAACTTTCCAGCCGAGGAGGATTTCGTTAACTCTGTGGTTCCACTTTTTGAACCTAATGCCAAAGAAAGGGGGCCCTCCAGAGATCCTCTAGACTGACCCAAGTATTATATCACTTTTATATCTAATTTCTTTTTTTTTATTTTTTTTTTAAATATACTTTATTGGTTTTATGATTAAAAACATCAAATCTCTACTAAAATCAGAAGTGCAGTGTTTGTACATATTTACAAAATATACATCAGGTATACTTCACACTTAAATTGCAAGAAATAAGCATACCCTGACATCATGATTTTAACCTATTATTTATATCTAATTTCATTATTCCATTTGGTTTTGGTTTTCCATATTAGGGCCGCCCTTGGAAGCCGCGCCCCCTTTCCTCGCCCCGAACTGAGGCTGGGCCCCCCTCGGGAGGGGCGCCCGGGGAAGCGGCCTTCGCTCCTCTTTTGAGCGCCCGTCGGGGGCCAGGAAGCGAATCCCGGGCAGCTGCCCCACGGGGGTCTGGTTTCTGGCGGGCGAGAGGGAAGCCCCACAGCGCCCGTGGAAAGGCCCACCAGACCCCCCGGGAACCCCGCGGAGGGGAGCAGGCAGGCCGGCTCAGCGCTCCACGCGGGGCATCTTCGAGGGGCCTCCTCCCGCCTTGTCTCCGGGCCGCGAAACGAAACCGAAAGCCCCGGCGCCCCTTCGCGGCTACTGCGCAGGTGCCGAGCCGGCCCTTAGCCTGTGCTCGGTCTGCGGGCTGAGTGCGGCTGAAGAGCTCTTTCCCAGCTGCCCAGAAGCTCCGGCCGAAGCTGCCTTTCAGCACCAGGCAACGTTGCGCCCTCGGTTGAGGCTCGCTTCGCCGGCAAAGCTGAAACGGTGCCCCGACTGCCACTGAAGGGCCCCGGGCCCCAAGTGGGAGGGTTCGGGCCGGCTTTTTCTCTTGCTGTTCTCAATCGGTTGCTGGGAGGCCTCGGTGCTAGACTGAGGAGCACAAAGGGCCGGGGTCTATGGGGGTTTCCATAAGGGCTGGGCTGGCCGGGCTGAGCTTGTGGCAACAGGAGAGATGGGATGGAGGCCCAAAGAGGCTGCCCCAGACCCGAGGGGGCTTCGCTTGCTCTCTTCTCCAGCCCCTGGGCAACCTCCCCCCTTGCTTGGCCAGTTCTGGCTGCTTCTCTGCCCCACTTCCCCCCAGGACAAGAAAGTGTAGAGCAGTGGGTCTCAACCTTCCTAATGCCATGACCCTTTAATACAGTTCCCCATGTTGTGGCGACCCCCAACCATAAAATTATTCCTAAAACCATTGAAAATATGTGTGACCCCTGTGGTTGAGAACCACTGATGTGGAGGGGGGATTATGCCTCTGGAGGGGTTCGGAGCCCGTTCCCTGCAGGAGGGGAGGGGCTGAGAAATGCGCCTCCCAAGAGGCCCCCCCCACCTGTTGAGAAGGAGCCAATGAGCAGCTTTCCCTTCCAGGTAAGTCTCTGGATGAGGCATCCCCCTTCCCTCCCCCTCCCTGGATCCCAAGAATCCCCCCCCTCACCCCCACAGCCTGCTGAGGCCCAGACCAAATGGTGTCTGAAGGATCGTTTCTACTTAGAACAGTGTTTCTCAACCTTGGAAGCTTGAAGATGGGTGGACTTCAACTCCCAGAATCCCCCAGCCAGCAGCGCTGGCTGGGGGATTCTGGGAGTTGAAGTCCACCCATCTTCAAGCTTCCAAGGTTGAGAAACACTGACTTAGAAGCTCAAGCTGAGGCAGGACTGACAAGGCTTTTAATACAACAGAGCACAGGAGTGTGGTCCAGTGGTGAAATGTAAAATCTATTACTACCGTTCTGTGGGCGTGGCTTGGTGGGGTTAATGGGATGGTGGGCGTGGCCAACTTTTTAAAACAAAACTTTTAAAAGCATTTTTTCTACAACCTCTTTGGCCAAAGATTCCAGCTGAGCCGTGCGATCATCAGAGGCTTTTTTTTTTACTTTTAAAAGCATTTTGACGGAAGAAAAAATGCTTTTAAAAGTAAAAAAAAAAAGCCTTAAGATTGCGCGGCTCAGCCGGGCATGGAGGGGCGGGCAGGGGTTTTTGCTACTGGTTCTCCGAACCACCCGCTGCCATCGCTACCGGATTGGACGATCCGGCCCGAACCGGGAGCATTTCACCCCTGATGTAGTCACATTTGACTCACCGGTTACAGGTAATCCTCAGGTTGTGAATGTAATAGAGCCTGCCAATTGCAGTAGTAACCCGAGGATTCATTAATTGGATAGCCATAGCACTTAGACTGCTTTACAGTGCTTTTACAACCCTCTCTAAGCAGTTTACAGAGTCAGCATCTTTACCTCCAACAATCTGGGTCCTCATTTTACCCACCTCGGAAGGATGGAAGACTGAGTCAACCTTGAGCCTGGTGAGATTTGAACTGCCAAATTGCAGGCAGCTGGCAGTCAGCAGAAGTAGCCTGCATGACTGCACTCTAACCGCTGTGCCACCTCGGCTCATAAATGAACGTAGACGTATTTTTCAGAATATAAGATGCCCTTTTACCCCCTAAAAGAGGGTGAAAATTTGCGTCTTATACACTGAATGTAGCCCCGCACACCCGATGGCCCTCGCCCTTTGGCCTCTGCCTCCCAGCAATTTACCTCCTTGCGGCAAGCAGCAAACAGCCCGTTTCAGCTTCAGCACAGCCTGATTAGCACAAGCAGCTGATTGTCAGGCCTCCCGTCCCTCAGCTGTTTCAGGCTGCAGGGATTGCCATTGCCTATTGCCGCGCGGGCCTCTGCTGTTTGCTGCAAGGAGGTGAATTACTGGGAGGCAGAGGCAGATTTTTTTTTTTCTTGTTTTCCTCCCCCCAAAAAAAGGTGTGTCTTATAGTCTGAAGCATCTTATACTCCAAAAAATATGGTAAGCCCTCCCTGGTTTATCCAATGCATTGGCTAATGGAATGCTCAGGTCAGTATCTCAGGGCGGGGAAGACCATGGGGGCCGCCTGCTTCTGACCACGTAAGGCAAGGCTGTCAAAACTGGCGGCCTGCAGGCCAGATGCACGCAGTCCACGCCCACTCCAGCTCCGCAAAGGAAAAATGTCACGTGACGGCAACATGTCGTGGCGAGTTTGACACCTGTGACCTAAGGCCTCCCCCGACCTACTGAGGTATCTCAATGCTTCCCTCCCACCCACCCCCCATCCTGACCTTGCCTCTTCCCCACAGGCACTGGGCTTGACCGTTCGAAGGTCTCCTTGGTCAAGCGAGCTTCTGCGGTTTCTTTGTCTGCTCCAAAAGCAGAGCGTTGAGCGGGCCTTGCTCAGTTTGGCTGACTCACGGAGGCTGCCTGTGCAGCACCCCCAATCGGCTTTTGCAGCGCCAGGCAGCCTCGGCGGCTCTGAAGGAGTGCTGGATCGCCCCCCTGAAGGTTTCTGTTCTCCACGCCAGAAGCTTTTGCAAAGGGACGGAAGCCTTCAGAGGGGGGATCTCTTGCTGCTTCAGGCCGCCGTCCCTTTGCAAAGCTCTTGGTGCGGCTGACAGAAGCCTTTGGGGCTGTGACCTCACGCTCTTTTTTAGGATTCCACCCCACCCCTGCGCCAAAAGATTTTGCAAAAGAATGGAGGCCTGAGGGATTGTGTACCTCCCAAGTCCCTTTGCAAAAGTTTTTGGCGCAGAGAACAGTAGCTTTCGGCTGCACGATCTTGTGCTCCTCCAGACTCACCGAGGCTGCCCAGGGCTCCAAATCGGGTGTCCTGCGTGTGCAGCCTCAGTGAGTCAGCCGAGCTGAGTAGGGCGCCCTCTGCCTCTGCTGTCACCAGTCCGCTTTTGGGGCGCCAGGAGCAGTAAAGTAACTGCGCTTTCGCATGGTTGTAGATGTGTGTCATCTCTCTGGCCCTGCGAAGGAGGGGGGCTGCCCCTGCCTCTCCCAACCCTCAGCAGTTGGCAAAGAAGGGGGGCTTCCAGGAGGCACAAAGCATCCTTGGGATGAGGGGGGCGAAGTAGCACCCCCAAAAGTATTCCTGGGCATTGGACACCGGCAGGGGGTTTCATGCTACAGAGGGTCTCCCTTGCCCAAGGGCTAAAGCCCCCACACACACACACATGCACTGCTGGATCTCGGCACCTGCAAGGCTCCTCCTGTGTCCCACGGACGCCTCAACTCCTGGCTGAGAAACCCCAGTTGCTGCCTTCACAAGTGCCTCGTATTCTGGCTTGTCGTAACAGATTCTCACCCCCTTCCTCCCGTCCCTGAACTGCCTAAAGCCAAGCATGCGCACACGCACACACACACACCTCGCCTGGTGTGACCTCCCCATCACAAGACAGTCACTTATTTATTTTTATTATTTTATTTTATTCAATTTGTATACCGCCCTTCTTCTAGTGGACTCAGGGCGGTGCACAGCCAGAACTAAAACACATACCAATACAAAATTTAAAATTTTTAAAAGAATTTCATGACTTTGGCCCAAAATTTAAAACGTTCAAACTAAAACCCATTGACAATTATAAAAGCTAAAAAAAGGGGGGGGTTCACGCCAGCCCTGCTTGATGGAAAAGAAAAGTTTTTAGGGCACGGCGAAAGACCGGGAGATCCAATATCCTTCGTATCTCCGGGGGCAAATCGTTCCAGAGGGCAGGAGCTGCCACAAAGAAGGCCCTCCCCCTGGGGGTCACCAGCCGACATTGCCTGGCTGACGACACCCTGAGTCGGTGGGGGGCTATCGGCGGCAGAAGGCGGTCCTGCAAATACCCAGGTCCTATGCCATGGAGCGCTTTAAAGGTGGTAACCAACACCTTGAAGCACACCCGGAAGACAACTGGAAGCCAATGCAGCTCACGCAGGAGAGGTGTCACATGGGAGTGCCCCCTGGCTCCCATAATCCCCTGCGCGGCCGCATTCTGCACCAGTTGGAGCCTCCGGGTGCTCCTCAAGGGGAGCACCATGTAGAGAGCATTGCAGTAGTCCAGGCGGGAAGTGACAAGTGCCTGAGTGACTCTGCATAAGGAGTCCCGATCCAGAAAGGGAAGCAACTGGCGAATCAGGCAGACCTGATAAAAAGCCCCCCTGGCCACAGCCGTCACATGCTCTTCTAAAGACAGCCGTGCATCCAGGAGGACACCCAAGTTGTGAGCCCTCTCCGTGGGGGCCAATAACTCGCCCCCAATAGCCAGCGATGGCACCAGCTGGCTATATCGGGACGCCGGAAGCCACAGCCACTTGGTCTTGGAAGGGTTGTGTCTGAGCCTGTTACTCCCCATCCAGATCCGCACGGCCTCCAGGCACTGGGACATCACTTCAAGGGCATCATTGGGATGGCCTGGGGTGGAGATGTACAGCTGAGTGTCGTCAGCGTACTGATGGAACTCCACCCCAAAGCCACGGATTATCTCACCCAGCGGCTTCACGACTGCGACTGGTCGGAGAGATAGGAGGAGAACCAGCGCAAAACGGTGCCCCCCACTCCCAACCCCTCCAACCAGCGCAGCAGGATACCATGGTCGATAGTATCAAAAGCCGCTGAGAGGTCTAACAGGACCAGGATAGAGGAGCAACCCCTATCCCGAGCCCTCCAGACGCAATCCATACCTCACCCACCACAAGACCTGATCCTATGTGACCTGACGTGACCTCACAAGACCTACTGACCACACGGAGCCATTATAAGCAGAGGAACACTTTACACTCCCCCAAGCTCTGCTAAAGATGCTACACAGCCTGGTAATGAAACTTTCAGAAACCAACCCACAAGCTCGGAGAAGGAACCTACACACACACACACACACACCATTCCAAGCTTGAGGACTTGCCTTATTGTGGCATCACAAGCTGCCAGTGAGATGCAGATCATGGACCAGCAGGGAGTGGCTATCACAGGGCATTAAAAGTTTGTTCTGGAGGACGTTTGCAAAGGGAGGTGCTGCAAAAGCAACGTTGAAGGGAAAAAGGAACAATGAAGTCCCCGTGTATCTGCAGAATTAAAAATCTGTGCCCCAAAGTGGAGCCTCCAGCTTGCTAAGCACGGTGAGGAAGGAAAGTTTATAAAAGTCCCCAAATTCATAATGGTGTGAGTATGTCTTCACGCACACAGCTCCCCCAAAGGAGAAATCATCCTCCTCAAGCCCGGGCACAATTGGCAGGTTCCCAGCACGGATGGGGATAAATTTTCCCACACTCGGAATGGTGTGTAGGCAGACAAGTGCCCAGCATGCCAAATGAGAAGTCTGTCAGGGTTCCAGAAAACCCCACTCCGAGTAAAGACTCTGAAGCCAGCATTTTCCAAAGTTCTCTTTACTAGAATAGGCAAACTGGCACATCGGGGAAAACCCGAATCTGAGAGTTCCAGGTTTTCCCTCAGTAAATCAAAACCCCCAAAACCACCCCCTCCCTCCAGTCCATCACATGCCCCAATCAACGTCCGTCCCATCTCGACTCAGCACTCTGACCACTCCTTCTCCAGATGCCAGTTCGCCCTGACCTTGACCGACAGGAAGAATGCTATTATGTCTACCAAAAACCCCTCTACTAAAGCCCTCCTCCTACTTTCCCACACACCAGAAGGTGGCAGCATGGAAGCTTCCGGCCTAATATGGCTTCCAAAGCTGACAAGGTCATTCTCCCAGAATTGTCCCCATGTCCAGTTAGCCAGTGCAAATTCTGCGCCGATCCAGCCACGCCCAGCTATCTGTGCCCACCTGGGCACCATGAGTCATCTCATCCCGCCAGAGACAGCCCCACGTGACATCCAAGCCCCTTCAGGCCCCACCCATAGCTCTATGGGGCAATCTCTCCATTGTTGCTGATGCTGTCAAAAGTCCACTTTGACCTCCGGTTGCCAAAGAGAGGAGGGTACCCCAGTCGGGGATGAATGACCTCTAAACAAACACTGACCAGGCGGACCCCTTTGTCCTTCCTTCAGTTTTTCAGGTCTAAGGCCCATATCGGCCGGAGAGTCAACCAGGGCAGCCTGGCACTCTCATGGCTGGCAGAGTCTCGACCTGCAGACCCAAGAGGGAAGCTCAGCATCCAGGCAGGCAGCTGTGGGGTCCTAGGCGGAGCTCCTGGCAGTGCTTCCATGAGTCAGTCAATCCCTTTGCTTGTCCAAGGCCGGATAGCCACTCCCAGGTGGGCTCCTCCCATGGTCCTCGGGGGTGGGTGGGTGGGAAAGCAGTCACGGGGTGTCCTCCATGGCCAGCCAGGCCAGTACCTGGCAGCGGATCAGGCCAAGGAAGCGCTGCCAGGCGGTGCACGGGTGCTCAGCTGCCTCCCACATGGACAGCATTTCGTCAGGCGGCACTTCGTGCACACTGAAGAGCACCTCCCAGTAGCAGCAGGCATCAGGCGGATAGTGGGTAGCCCCGGCCATATACTTCAGGTGGTGCGGGGCAATGCCAGCATAGCGGGCGCACAACGCCACAAACACATCCTCTATGGGCAGCAGCGGCAGCTGGCGTGCAGCACCCAGAACAGCCGCGGCGGCTGGGGCAGAGAGAACATAGGCAGGGCCGCTACAGTAGGGTGGGAAGGTGGGTTCCGGGTAGAGAGAGGTGGGCACGTAGTACCGGCTATGTGGGTCGCGGATGGGTGCCACGTGTGAGTAAACCTGGCCCAGATAGGCAGTGGGTGGGCCGGCCAGCCGCTCCAGGTATCGCACCAGGGCAGGCAGGTTGAGGATGACATCATCGTCAGCCTTGAGCAGGAAGCGGGCGGTGGGGCAGTGGGTGGTAGCCCAGCCCAGCATCGCCAGCGTCTTCAGTGTTAGGTTTGCGTAGGTGTCGGTGAAGCGTGCCTGCAACACGTCGCCATGCTCGGCCGCCTCATGCTCCAGTGCTGCCTGCTGCGCCACATCCCCAGGTAGCCCCAGCGTGAAGACGGTGCGCATGCTGCGCCCTCCTGTCACCCTCACACTCCCCCAGCTATGCCGCACTGCTGCCCGCCGGGCCGCATGCCCAGTCGCACTGGCCACTAGCACCAGTAGCCAGGGGTCCGTCAGGGCACAGGGCAATGGGGAAAGCGGGAAGGCGTTGGGTGGCGGCAGGAGCAGGGTGTCTATGTGTCGCTTCCCCACACCGCTGCCCATCAGGAAGGGCACTGAGCGTGAGAGCAGCTCCTCATGACGAATGGCGGCCAGGAAGCTGAGAACCAAGAGGGTGGCCAGGATGCACAGCAGCCCGACCAATAGCTGGGCCGAGCGGCACAGGCAGCGCTTCCGGCAGGGTGTCATGACAGTCATGGACAGCAGCAGGGGCTCCAGGAGGGCCTGCAAGAGAGGAGGAGACGTCAGCCCTGCCAGAGAAGAAAGGGTGGCTGAGCCCATTTCGCCTCCTGCACTCTACGAAGGAGGCCCCGTGTCACACTGCAGCCGATGGGATGAGATGAAACGGCCTCCCCAGGAGCCTCCGCACCCTTCCCGGGGAGCAGCACCTCGCAAGACTGGCCGAGGGAGTGGTCGCCACGTTGGCAATAATGTGGCAGCTGCTTTCATCCCTCCTTTGTTCCCTCCTTCCGCCAAAGGCAGGGATGCGGTGGTGCCGCACAGGGCTAACACTCGCTTGGTTGTGCCCAGCTGTGGGTGGGCTGCATGCCCATTACGGAGCTGCTCTGAGTGCCAGCCTCACTCTTGCCTCTGTGTGCCACCAGGCAGGCACCGTTCTCAATACTCCAGCTAAGAGAGCTGCCCGCCTACCCTGCCAGACCCTGCTTTCCCCCCCAGGGGCCCTCAGAGTCCCACAGCATTGCCCATTTGGAGGAATTAAGGGGCCCCACCACCCTGCGCGTTAGAACTCCCTCGCCAATAAGGCTGCTTATCTTGCTCCTCATCTGATGGATGGGGGTCCTGGCCAATGACGGGATGGGGGCTGGTTAGGGAAAGGGGCAAAGGGAAGCAATGGCCTTGAGCGGAGACAAGGCCAGGATCTTGGCTAAGAAGCAGAACTCCAATTCCACAGGGGAGGGTGGTCTTGTAAGAGGCATTGGGGAAGTGGGAAGCCTCCGCGGCCTCTGGAGAAAGACGCCCTGCGCCAGATCCACCAGGGCCGGCCTGAGGCCATGACAGAGTGCAGATCCAGGGGGAAACTTTGCATGCATTCCCAAACTTTGGGAAGTCTCAGCTACACTTGGAATCCTATGGCTGGAAGGGACTTGGCCTCCCTGGGGATCTGTGACTGTGTTTCCTTCAGGGCAGAGCTGCTTTAGGCCTGGCCCAGGAAAGGAATCGGGGATCCCAACCCAAGGAAAGGAAGCCTGGAGATCAGGTCAGGCCCAGGAACCCAACTAGGGACCTCTGTCCCCCTTCCTTCCTCGGTTCCACCCAGACCAGCTGGGCATCCTTGCCTGGGCCTTGGCTAACCCAAGTGGGGCCTTCCCACCCAGCTCGGCCCCCTCAGGTGAAATTCGACCCCCCCCCCGTTAAGCCAGTTGCTCATGAGCTCCTCCACCCATTTCCTCTGGTGCTTCAGCTCCGAGATTGTGCCAGCCTACCCTGGAGCCTGGCTCTCGGGGCTTCCTCCGGCACCTGCTCTAAATCCAGAAGCCCAGCGGACTCTGTGGCTGACAGTCGGGCACGTCCCAGGGACCTCTTGGAGGGCAGACCTGGGTTGGTGCACCCCGTTGTTCCCGAGCGTTTGAGGATGCCTAGCACCTGGCTGCTGGGTTGCAGCGTGTGGGTTCTGGCAGCCGGTCCAGCAAGTAGCTCTGCAAGCCCAGCCAGGTGGCTGCTCAGCTCCACCGGAGGTCATGGCTGGCCAACCATCCACCTTCCTGCCTCCTGCGGACAGGCTGCTGCCTGTCGGGGCCCTGGGCATGCCTGAAGCAGGGGGACCTTTGAGTCCACCTTAACCACCCTCCCCCAGGTGCCACAGGGGCTTCTGGGCATTTCTCCTTGGGGAGGCTGCTCGTTCCAGCCTCTGCCTCTCCTTCCGAAGGGCCCCCCCTTCCTGTGCCAGCTGAGCCCTCCCTGCTGGCTGCAGCGGAGGCCGCCTGCTCCCTTCCCCCCCCCCCCCGCCCGCAGGGCCAAGCAGGAAAAGCCTGGAGCAGGAGGGGTCCCTCCCCAAAAGGAAGGAAGGAAGGGCATTTTTCACCAGTAACAGAGTTGAAACGTGCTTGGGATGAAGGTCCATCATCTGACCAAAAAAAATTTAAAAAATAAAGATAACTGAAAGGGCACCAGGTCTTTTTCTCTCAACGGTTTTCTGTGTTTCTATGTTCAGCTAGTTTGGCCAGGAGATCCCTGCCCAGCCTCCCAAGGCGTCCCACGTTCACGGGCTGCTCCTGCAGCTGGGCATGACGGTGTAAGATTTTCCCTTTCCTGGGACTGTTTGGGCACGGAGGAGAGGCCGGGCCCCGCCCTGCATGGTAAGCTTCCCTGCCTTTGCCTCCCTTCCCAGCGCCCCCCGCAAGACGACCCCAGAAGCGCCCCTGGGCGGAGGTCCAGGCAGGTTCTGCAGCTCCTTGTGGAGGGTCCTCCGGCAGGAGAAGGAGACGGCAGCCCCTTCCTCTCCGTGGTCCCGGCCTTTAGGTCCAGAGGCCTCCTGAGGCTGCTGCTGCGGCTGCATCTGGCCAACTCCCATTGAACCCAGACAGGTTGGGCCCATCATTGGTTCCCAGGAAAGAGAGGCCCTCTTAGGGATAAAATGTGCTGGGGGAAGTTTCAGCCTCCGGACTGGTTGAAGCAGGAAGCCCTGCCGTGCGGCAAACGGAGCTGCTGGGATGTTAGGGAAGTGGAGGCTGGCAGGGAAGTTTCTCCCTGGCGATGCCCTTGTGGCACCTGCGGGCCACCCGATGCCCAGAGCGAGCCCACTCGCCATTGGAGGTGTGGGTAGGGAGAGGAGGAGGGGGCAGGTATTCCTGACATGGGCTGGAGGGAAGCCAGGAGTCCCCCTGTTTCCCCCCCCAACCACCCAGCTGGGGGTCTTTCAGGGCACAGAAATACCTTTGGGGTTTCTGCAGGAGAGGAGAGGGCAGGATCCGTGTTTCCTGGCACCGTTGCTACCCAAAATCTACCTGCACAGGTGACACCCAGGGAGGCAGGGAGGGCGGAGCCTGGCTCTGTCGAGGGAGGGGCAGAGAGGGAAAGGGCCCCTTTTCCACAGTTGGCAACAATCAGCCCCTTTGCTTTTCCCAGGCTGACCGGCTGGACTTTGGTCAGGGAAGGTTCTGACACCTTAAGAATGGAAAACAGGGGAATCCTCCAAATGGGGAAAGCCCCCCTTAAGCCCTCCAGAGAGCAGCAGCAGCAAAGGCCGTAATGTCTCTGGGAGGGGAATCCCCCCTTCATAAGAAAAGTCACCTTTCACCACAGCAAGGCAGCCAGGAAGCGATCAGAGTGTACAGAAGGAAGGCGCCAAAGTGAGAACGGATCAAATTTCTCTCCGGACTGCCTGTGCTTTTTGTGGCTGTCTGTGAAAAGTGACAAACCGCAGATGTGCAACAGGAAACGCCGGAGAATGTCAGGATTAAAAACGTTTCACAAAATAACGTTAAATGGAACCTTGTACCCAGAAGGACAAAGGCAAATATCCAGGTGGAAAGACTGATCCGCATGGATGGATGCTAAATAGCAAAGGAAACTTTTTGTGTAAATACCTGAGGCATCTCCTACTCTGGGCCCTTCCTTTGGGCCTCAGTCCCAAGTGTGAACTTTCTCTCTCTGCAGAAATAAAGGGCGGAAAGCTTCACTTCCTGCTTCTCGCCAGACTTCTTGGCTGCCCTTTCTGGGAAAACCCAGCCCAGCTCAGGCGTCCCTTCCCTCCGTCCTTCCCTCCTTCCCTCCTTCCCTCCCTCCTTCCCATGCCTTTTCCAGAAGTTCCGGTGTGTCAGCCATTTCTCTCCCCCTCCCCAGGAAACTCTCTGACACCACACTGGTGCCTGGGTTGTGGGGGGGGGGGGGGGGAAGGCCAGCCTTGGGCAGGCAGTGGCGGGCCTTCCAGATGCCAGCAGGTCCTGCCTGGAGGAGGCCCTCGCAGCCCCCCCCCACCCTCCGGAGCCTGGCTGAGGCCTCTTTGGGGGAGGGACCTCTGGATCCAGACTCCGCAAACAGCCCTCAGTGGCTGCAGGACTTGTGGCCGGCCAGCCTCTCTTGTCCAGCAGAAAAGTGTCCACAGGAGGTGGCAATGGATGCCTGGCAGTTTAGGGCACTAAAATGATACAGCAATTAAAACGTCCCCAGCATAAAAGGCATCTAATTCACACAGAAACCCCGGAGACCCCTAAGGCGGATGATGGGGCTAATATGGGGGAGGCCCCTCTGGATGTCCAGAGCCACCGGCCTCAGGTCCCCCCACTCACCTGGAAGTGGGTGCTCCCCACAGCTGCTCTCCCCCAGGGGCTTTGAGAGTGGTGGTGGGGGGATGAAGTGGAAAGGCAGCCCTGAAGGACTGACCAGTTAAAACCAGTGCTTGACTGGCACCCGGGCAGCTGAGGGCACACCCGGGTCTTGTCCATCCATAGGTCCTGTTTTGGGTTCAAAATGGAACCAATCTGTATTGATTTACTTATCTTTATCCTGCATTTTTTTAATGAATAACTCAAGGCAGCGAACATACCTACAGTAATATTCCTTTCTCCTCTTATTTTCCCACAACAACCCTGTGAGGTTGCTTGGGCTGAGAGAGAGAGAGAGAGAGACTGTCTCAAAGTCCCCGAGTCAGCTTTCACGCCTAAGGCAGACCTAGAACTCGTGTCTCCTGGTGATTCCCCCAAAGTCACCCAGCCGGCTTTCATGCCTAAGAAGGGACTAGAACTCGCAAGGCTCCCAGTTTCTAGCCTGCTGCATTCACTGACAGACCAAACTAACTCTGGGGAGGGGAAAAATACACCAGTTCACAATGCAATATGAACTTGAATTATACAGGTGGTCCTCAAGTTATGACTGTAACGGAGCGTGCCCATTCCATTCATAACCAGAGGATTTGGGGGAGGGAATCTCGTCCCTTGGACAGGATCACTCCCTCCTTTCAGCCATAATTGAACCCAAGCAGGGATGAAATCTAGAATTTGTTACTATCGGTTCTGTGGGTGTGGTTTGGTGGGGGGGAATGTGACTGGGTGGGAGTGGCCAACTTTTTTTTTTTACTTTTAAAAGCATTTTTTCTACAACCTTAAAAGGCTGCAGAAAAAAATGCTTTTAGAAGCCTCTGACGATCAGGCAAGTCAGCTGGGATCGCCAGAGGCTTTTAAAAGCATTTTTTTTCCTACAGCCTCTTTGGCTGAAGAGATGGTAAAAAAAAATGCTTTGAAAAGCCTCTGACGATCCCAGCTGAGCCATGTGTTCCAAGCCTTGTGTTAAGGGGTGAGATGCTCCCGGTTCGGACTGGATCGCCTGATCCGGTAGCGATGGCAGCCGGTGGTTCGGAGAACTGGTAGCAAAAATCCCTGTGCCCCCCCCCTGCCCAGCTGAGCTGCGTGATCATCAGAGGCTTTTTTTTTTACTTTTAAAAGCATATTTTCGGCCGAAGAGGTTGTAGAAAAAATGCTTTTAAAAGTTAAAAAAAAAAACAGCCTCTGATGATCACGCGGCTCAGCTGGGCATGGGGGTGTGGGGGCTTTTTCCTACCAGTTCTCCGAACCACCCGCAGCCATCGCTATCGGATCAGGCGATCCGGTCCGAACCGGGAGCATCTCACCCCTGAAGGCAAGGCTCGGTAAATGCACGAGAGGTATTTTGGGATGGCCTAGTGATGGGACAGGACACCTGCCTAAGACCACCCAAGGCCTCCCCAGCACACTGACATACGTCATGCTTCCCACAATTGCTTCCCCCCCCCCACCCGAGCCTGCCACACCCAGTCCCTTACCATGCGAAGATCTAGCAAGCTGCCTCCTCTCCAGCCTCTCAGCTGCGTCTGCCCCTCTGCACTTCCATTCGGGCCTCCGGAGGCTTCGCCCAGCACTGTGCCAACTGAAATGGAGTTCGAGGGCAGATCCGCCCCCCAGAAGCTCCATTTCGGGCTGCAACGTGCCAGGTGAAGCCTCTGGGTCTCCGAAAGGCGCATCAGAGGGGCGGATCCGCTCCTTGGAACCTCCATTCTATCCGGCAGCATTCAGGACGAACGTTGCAGAGCCTCTGCGGTTGTTCGTAAAGGCCAACAACTGCTGTGGTGCTGCAAGATTCGTAGTTTCGGGCCTTGGTTAGCAAACACTATGGGGGCGCTTATGGCATAATTTCGAAGGTTTGCTAAGGGATTTGATATTTTATCAAGAACTTTTGACTTCATCAAACCTGTAACCTGGCAAAGACAATTATTGCAAAAGGGGGGGGGAAGTTTGTTCTCCCGATGGAAACAAAGGGAGTCAAGATGTCCACAAGTCCGAAATCTATTTATTGCCTAAGATGAAAAAAAAAAAAATGGACCAGTATGTTTTTACATGGTTTAATGATTGTAAGAATGGAAATTTCACATTGATACTAATCAATATACACGGTCAAAAACCACGAGGGGGTTGGCATTTTGCTCCCACGAATAAATATTGAAAGTCACAGAGATTCTTCAGCTGCAAAGACGTGAGCTTTCTCCCCAATTTTGGCTATTGCTGCTACACAGTGCGGGGTTATAGGTCTGGGGGAGGGGCAGGGGGCTTTGCAACCTCTAGCGTGGGATCCTTGGCGATCTCCCAGCTGGATACTTTGTTTGCAGACGTTTTATTACCAAACCAGGTGACATCCTCAGCGCTTCGGGAGCCCCCCAGTTCAACCCTCCGCTGCAAATATTCTGTTCTATGGGCAGGGCCCTCTTCACAGCGTTATGGGCCCCCGGCAAAGCACCGTACTGGGGCCCCTACGACAACTACCCACAGGAATAAAAATGCAAACGGTCGATAAAATTAAACATATACTTGCATAATCTACGTATAATTTATTTCTATTAAGGCAGAACGCAAAGTGAAATTGAATGTAAGAGTGAAATAATAGGGGGTCAGCCTAGATGACCTCTGAAGGCCCCCTTGGCTAATTATTATAAAAGACAGTTGGAGAGTTCAAGAAATCAAACCGCACGAATGAACTACCCTTCCCGTTCAGGCAATCACGGGAGGCGGGAGAGAGCCTGGCACATCGGAGGTTTAGTTCACATTCCCAGTTTGTTGTTACTATCACGAGAGGGGTCTTAAAAAAGGGTTAGGGTCAGAAGGCGAACCGAGCGCGTGGCTGAGCCCTTTGGCCCAACTAAATCAAAGCTTTTCCTGATCTCGAAATTCATCGCATTCCTTGATTTTTCTGCAACACTAGGAGACGCTCCCATGGCCAGGCCGGGGCCCAGCAGGCTGCCCTCCTCCCTTCCCAGGCGGCACAAATCCAAGGGGGCGAAGCGAGGGGAGGGTGGGGGGAGCGAAGGCGCTGCGGGTGGAAGGCGCCCCCTGCTGGCCCTGGACAACGCGCCGCTGCCTGCTCCCCCTCCCTCCCTCCCTCCCTCAGCCGCTTCTGGGGGGGGGGAGGCCCCGCCCGCCACCGCCTCCCCGGGGGCCTTTCCAAGGGCGGGAGCCTCTCTGCCTCCCACCCGCGTCCAGGGGAAGGCGGGGGCTCTGCGGGGAATTTGCGAAGCCTCCCCCGTACACGCCACTCCTGCGAGGGAGGCTCCTCCCCTCCGCGCCCTGAACTGACCCTGGCCCCACCGCCCGGCCCGAAGCGAAACGGGGCTCCTCGCGTGGGTAGAGCGTGGCCGGCGTCCAGGCCCGCCACACCCAGCAGCCCCACGCGGGGCAGGACCGCCGAGCCGGGAAACGAAACCGAAAGCTCCGGTGGCGCTTGGCGTCTACTGCGCAGGCGCCAAGCCTGCTCTTCGCCTCGTGGTCTGCGGGCTGATCGTCTTCGCGGAGCTCCCCGAAAGCGGCGGCCGAAGCTGCCTTTCCAGCGCCAGGTGGGGAGGGGGCTGCTCCCCGCCCTTGGCCCGAGAGACCGGCGGCCCTCCGGAGGGTGCAGGTGAGGCCGCTTTCTCTCCCGCCCAAGAAGGGGCCCCCGACTCCCACGGAAGGGCCCGGGTGGTCAGGGGCCCCTCCAAGCGGGGGGGCGGGGGGGCTCGGGAGCGCAAAGGGGGGGGTCCCTGGGGTGGAAGCCTGGCTTATTCACCAGGCCAGGACCCTCCGGGACCCCTGGGCTGCCCGGGCTGAGCTTGAGGGCACCGGGGAGCGGACGGATGCCCAAAGAGGCCGCCCCAGCCACTGGGCTACCTCCCCCGTTGGCAAGAAGCCCCCTTGCTTGGCCAGGCCTAGCTCTTCTCTGCCCCACTTCCCCCAGGGCAGGAAAGTCGTGGGGGTGGAGGGGGGGGGCTTCAGGGCACCTTCCCTGCAGGGGGGAGAGGGGCTGAGAAATCCCCCCCCCAAGAGCCCCCAGGCTGCCTGGGAGAAGGAGCCAATGCGCAGCCTTCCCTTCCAGGCCCAGCAAAGGGAACCAAGGAGCCCCATGGCCACCTCTGGGAAGCAGACGGCCTTGGGGCAGCTGGGCCAGGAGGCCACCTGTCCACTCTGCCTGGACCTCTTCGAGCAGCCGATGGTCCTGTCCTGCGGGCACAACTTCTGCCACGACTGCCTGGCCCAGCTGGGCGCTGAGTTTTCTTGCCCCCAGTGCAGAGCCAAGGTGGGGCGTGACAGCGCCTGCCCCAACCAACCCCTGGCCAACATCGTCTGCCACCTGAAGAGGCTGTGGCTGTCTGGGGGAGCCCAGGAGGAGGGCAGCCGCCGCCAGCTGTGCCAGGAACACGGGCAGCCCCTGCAGACCTTCTGCTCCAGTGAGAAGAGCCTCCTCTGCCCCGGCTGCCTGAAGGGGCACCAGGACCACCCCCTCCTCTCTCTGCCCGAGGCTGCCCAGGAGTACAAGGTAGGGGGCGGGCAACCGCAACTGCATGGGGCACTCCATCAGCTCTTGGGAAGGGGGGGCGCAGGTAGAGGGGGTCACCCGAAGTCCCCAGAAAGATGGGAAGATGATCCTGGCGGCAGTGAGAGGCCCACAAAGGCTACCAGTTGAAAAAAATGGCGGAGGGGGGCCAGGTGCTTTTTCGGCAGCGAGAGAGGAGATGGGGGGGCAGAGAGTCTCGTAGGCATCTGCCTGCCCCTGGGGCCCCCCAGCAGGGCCTCTCCTTGAGTGGGGCACGGGGGTCCCTGGGTGGGAGCGCTGCCAGTGTGGACCCGGGAATGGCCCCCTCTCTTCCGCACTCAGGACCTGCTGGATGGCCTCCTGGAGCCCCTGAGGAAGGAGGGGCAGAAGCTGCTGGAGCAGAGGCAGGCAGAAGAGCAGAGCCGGCAGGAATGCCAGGTGGGTCTTTTGGGGAGGGGGCAGGAGGCAGCTGGGAAATCTCCCCCCTCCCTCTGAGTCTCCCCTTCTCTGCCCCCCCAGGAGCAATTTGCCTCTGAGAAGCAGAAGGTGGGCCTGGCGCTGGAGTCCCTGCAGGAGCTGCTCCGGGGGGGGCAGTCGGTGTGGCTGGCCTGGCTGGCCGAGCAGGAGGAGAAGATGGAGGCCGAGTGGGGGGTCGCCCTGGCCCAGCTCTCCGGGGAGGCCTCCCGCCTGCAGCAGCTGATGGCCCAGACGGAGCGGAAGTGCCGGCAGCCGGACGGGGAGTTCCTGCAGGTGGGGAGGGGCTCTGGCTGGCCTCAAGGTGGGGGGGGAGCAGAGGTTTCCCTTGCAAGGGCCGGGACCCACTTCTCTCTTCTCCTCTTTCAGGACATCCAGGACACCGTAGACAGGTAGGCGCCCTCTTCCCCCCCCCTCCCCGGTCTTTGTGGGTCGCTGCAGTTGATAAGTTAGTAAGACCTTAGTCCTTGGTATAGTAGGATGGGAATCACATTTTATTATTAGTCATATTTCTATGCCGCCCACTCTCCGAGGACTCTGGGCGGCTTACACCAAAGACAGTATATTAAATAGCATATTGCCCCCAACAATCTGGGTCCTCATTTTACCCACCTCGAAAGGATGGAAGGCTGAGTCAACCTTGAGCCGGTAAGATTTGATCCGCTGATCTGCTGAACTAGCAGTCAGCTGAAGTAGCTGCAGTACTGCACTCTAACCACTGCGCCACCTCGGCATTGACGTTTGTGTTGAATTTGTGTCTTTCCTCGCGTCTTTACTGAACTCTGCACTGGTTCAGTGCGCAGAGTTGGTTGCGATCAAAGCAACGAACAACAGTTGAATAACAAACAAGCCAGGATTCATATCACATCCTAAACTCAGGTTGGCAAAATCAGTCCTGCATTCACCTCGCAAGATGCTGGAAAGGGCCGGCTTGTTTCACACATCCCCATTGTCACTGCGTTATTTTATTTGCCAGCTGAACTCATCATTTCTGGACTATCTGACTTTCCGTACCTTGCCAAGAATTGTTATCAAAAGTTACTACGCATGTCTGCATTCTTTCACTTGCTTCACACACTCTTTCCTTTGTTCTCTTTCCAGAAAGGTCGGGCTGAGAAATAGCCGGCAAGAACTATTTCAAAATGTAGCAATTACTTTTCTTAGTTAGTGAGGTGTTTTATTTTCTTTATAACAAATAAATGAGTTTTATTAGAAAACTTTTCTTCGCGCTTCTTTTCAGAATATTGCAACTTGGAATAAACCACCATCCATCCTCTAATTAAACCAGGGTGATTTGTCCCAGAGCCAAACATGGGATTAATCAATGCCCTGACACCCATGGCCAACCCAACCCTCACCCAGCCTCCCCTCGTCTTGTGGAGAGAGAGCTGGGTAGCTGTGTGAGGCCTCCCTCCTTGTGTCGCAGGTGCCGGAGTTATGTGGTGGGTCGCGTGGAGAGGGTCTCTCCCAGGCTGCAAGACAGACACAGGACCTTCTTGGAGAAAAACGCTTCTGTAAGGCTGGTGGTGGACAATTCCAAAGGTGAGGGGCCCTTTCAGGAGGAGCCTCAGGAGTTCTGGGGGATTCTGGGCCCCTCTTCTGCCCCCCTTTTCTACTGGGGGATCTCGGGGGGGCAAGAGCGAATCCAGCTCCAGCCAACCTCTGGCTGGGTAAAGGGGGGGCTGCCTCCTCCACCCCCAAACCGTGGCCCTCGGGGGCGGGTCAGTGGGCATCTGGCGGGCACCGAGACACTGGTGCCAACAGGGTGGCTTCTCATGGGCATCGCCCACTGGCGGCTGTTTCTCATCCCGGCCTCCTCGTTTTTTCCTTTCCTCCTCCGAATCTCAGCCTCTCTGCAGAAGACTCTGACCAGGGGGAACCTGGATCGACTTCTGGCCACGGGTAACCCCCTGGGGCTGTGGGGGGGGGGAACGAGGCAATGTGGGAGGGGCTTGCAAAGACCACCTGCCCTCGTCAGGCCTCACAGCAACGTTTTCCCCAAACCTGCCAGGAGTGGCTTGAAGTCCCAAGTCTGGGGGGCCCCAAAGGCAGCCTCTCGGGGAGGCGGGGGTCCCTCAGCAGCCACACGGAGCCGGCCCTTCCCTGCCTCCACTTGGCCGCTCCAGAAAAGAGCCACGCTTGTGGGTGCTGGGAGGGCCTTCCCGGGCATAGAAGAGCCTGGCGGTGAGGGTGGGGGGGGATTGCTCAGTTTTTAGTTGTGCCTGGTAGAGAGTGGGGGAGGGGGCTTCTTCAGAAAGAGCAGCCGGATTTTAAAGCATGTCCCCCTTTCTTCCCCAGTGCCTGTGCCACAAGCCCCCCAAACTCCAAGGTCGTCTAAAGGTAACAACCACTGGGAAAGCTGAGGGGCTGGGCGTGGCTCTCCATAGAAAACGGGCCCAGCTCAGTGGTGAAATGTAAAATTTGTTACTGCTGGTTCTGTGGGCGTGGCTTGGTGGGGGGTAATATGACTGAGTGGGCATGGCCAACTTTTTTTTTTTACTTTGAAGAGGTTGTAAAAAATGCTTTTAAAAGCCTCTGACGATCCCAGCTGACTTGCCTGATCGGCAGAGGCTTTTTTTTCCTTTTAAAAGCATTTTTTCTATAATCTCTTCGGCCAAAGAGGTTGTAGAAAAAATGCTTTTAAAAGTAAAAAAAAGCCTCTGATGATTGCGCAGCTCAGCTGGGCAATTGGGGGGGGGAGACAGGGATTTTAGCTACTGGTTCTCCGAACCACCCGCCTCCATCGCTCCCGGTCCGAACGGGGAGCATTTCACCCCTGGCCCAGCTGCAGCACCCTGTGGCAAATGTTGGGCATCCCATGCCTGGCAAGGGCCCTGCCTGAGCCCGTCCTCAGCCTTACAGGCGGCCGAAGGGTCAGCAGGTGCTGCCTGTAAAAGGGGGGGGCCCAAAGCAGCCACCCAAATGTGGTGGGTGGGCCTTGGGCAGCTGCAGGGGGCTCTCCGGGGGGAGGTTTGGCCAGCTTACATCGCCTGGCTCTGGTGCTCGCTCTCTGGGAGGAGGAGCACTAAACCCACCAACAACAATAGTGGCAACCAGGAGCAGAAACAAGGACAAGCCTCAGATTACGACCACAACTGAGCCCAGCGTTTCCATTGCTAAGTGAGACAGTTGTTAATTTTGCCCCATTTTACGAAGTTTCTTGGCACAGTTGTTAAGTGAGTCCCTGCAGTTGTTAGCAACACAGTTGTTAAGTGAATTTGCAAAAGGGGGCGCCTATCATCTAGTTGCCATATGTTCAAATTTTGACCAGGCGACCATGGGGATCCTTCACTGGTCCTAAGTGTGAAAAAACGGTCATAAGTCACTTTTCCAGTGCCATTGTGATTTCAAACCACCACTAAATAAATGGTTGTAAATTGAGGACTGCCTTTGTTATCTCCAGGTGCCCTGGGCAATAAATACCTGAGCTGTGCCCTCCCTGGGTCAGACCCCCGGCCTCTGTTCTACCCACCCACGACCCCCACCCAGCACCCTTCAGAGGCAGCCCCACGGAGGCTGCAGAGGGTGACACGCTTAGGAATGGAGACGGACCTTCTCTGAAGCTTGCCAGGCACCGCGTCTCATGGCAGCGAGTTCCAGAGATGACCGAGCGGCCCATTTTGCTCCCTTTGGCATCCTGCTGCCCCCCACCCGCTAAGCAGGTGCAGCCGCCGCTCTGCCCTGCCCTCAGCGCCTGAAGCATCCTCTAAGACAGAGTTCCCCAACCTTTGCAGCTTTGTGGACCAGTGGGGGGGATGTGTGTAGAAAGGAGATGGTCGTGCGTGTATGGTGGGCTAGTGTCAGCAAACACGCACACAGCACAATACCTTTCTGCTTGTGTGAGTGGGGACGTGCGTGCGCAGTCCCCCTCCACCTCTGTGACCCAGTTCCAAAAGGCTCAAGGCACGGTAGTGGGCTGCGGCCCAGGGGTGGGGGAAACCCTGCTCTAAGAACTGCTTTGCCCTCCCCTGTTGCCAGCCTGCCTTCAGGGTTTCTCTTCTCTGTCCTGCAGTCTACGTCATGCCGAACAACGCAACCGCCCACCCGCGGCTCTGGTGCCAGGGATCCACGGTGACTTGGGCCAACACATATCAGCAATGCCCGGATGTACCAGAGAGGTTCGACCAGGAATTGTGTGTCCTGGGCAATGGGATATTCACCACAGGATGGAACTGCTGGGAAGTGACCGTGCAGGAGCCAGACAATGTCCCTGTGTGGGACAGACCATGCTGGGCCATCGGGGTAGCCAAGGAGTCCGTCCGCAGGAAGGGGGGCTTCCAGCTGAGCCCCCAGGAGGGAATCTGGGCCGTGGGGAAGAGTGCTGGGGGGGAGATGGTCGCTTTCTCCAAGAGTCCGCAGAAGCTGAGCTTGCGATGTCCGCTGCGGAGGCTGCGGGTGAGGCTGGGCTACGAGGCAGAAACGGTGGAGTTCCTGGATGCGGAGACGGAGACTTTCCTCCACAGGTTCCAGACGGGGCCCTTCCTTGGCGAGACGCTCCGGCCTTTTTTCTATCTGGGCCAGGAGAGGTTCACCCTTCAATGTGAGCCATATCCACAGCCTCCACAAGGGCCCGTGCATTTCTCATTCTACAGATGAGAAATATATGATAGAATGGAGAAGATGAATAGATTATATTCAAAGTAAATATCGAACTAAAAAATTTCAAATAGTTTAGGAATAGATAGATGTTGTTATGTATTCAAATTTAGTTTGGTAAATGGGGAGTTAAAGTATTAGACGGAGGTAGGAGGTTATAATTAGACTATGTTAGATTATGATCGTTGAATGTTACACCCTGTATTTTACTCTGGGAAGTAGGGAGGGGGAGGGTTGGGGAGGGTGGAGGGAAGGGGGGGGATATATATGTAAACTTTTTAAAACTTTTCAATTAAAAAAAGAAAAAAAGTGAGGTGCTTGTGACTTGGTGTCCTTTAAAAGGCTCTGCGGTGGACGGCTGATGGGGTCGTCTCCTGGGGCTCCAACCAGCGTCCCACAGTCTCCTTGCAGGAACAGCCGCCCGGAGCAGATGCGGGAGCTCTCCCATCCTCTCCTAATCCAGAGAGTTTCCCCGCAACCATCTCCGCTCTCTGCCATAACCTTCCCCGGAAGTCCAGAGAGGCTGAGTTCATGCTAGCCACAAACGCTTGGGCCCTGCCTGAACGCTTTATACTGCAAGGTGCCACCAAGGCGGATACAATTGTGAACTCGGCAATGGAGCCGAGCAACTCGGGGGCAGGTGTGGCTGTGCCCTCGGGGAGGCTGGCCTCAGGCAAACAAGCTCACCTGCTCCCACGGGCCCAACGCCAGCGTTTCAGCCCTGGCTATTTGCCAGCAGAGCCTCCGAAAGGCGCTTGGGCTTTCCGGAGAGCAAGAGCTGCCACGACCTTCCTCCTCTGGCATTGCAAGGATGGGCACAGCTCTCCGGGCGGATGTGTTAATGAACTCCCACACCCACACAGCCCACCTGGGCCTCCCTCCCATGCGCCCATTGGGACCTAGCCAGGAAGACCACCAAGCATGCAGGGACTTATGGGGTGGGGGGTGATGTTGAGGGCCAGAAGGCAGGATCCACCTCCACCCCCCCTTCCCCAGACAAGCCCCCACTGGATCTGGGCTTCCATTCGGTCTTCCCTGGAAGGCCGGCAAGAAGGGGAGGGCCAGAGGTGGGGGGAGGCCAGGACCAACCTCGCCCTTGGCTGAAGGAGGTTGGGCCAGGGGTGGGGAGCTGTCTTGGAGGTGGGGGGAGCTCTTCCCTTCGGTCCAAGGTCGGCTCCTTGTCTGGAGCATCCAGGGTTGTGCTGAGATCGAGCCCTGGCTTGGGTCAGCCTGATGAGAGCCTCTGCTGTCAACTCCCCAGAGAGATTCCCACATCTGCCTTGGGGGGGGAGGGAGGGGGGGAGGCTCCAGAGTTGTTTGCGTTTTCCAGAGGGGATGTTGGTGCAGCCTCTTTTTTCATGTTTTCCCTCTTCTTAGCCAAGGCCGTTTCGTCGGTGTTTTATTGATCAAATGTATTTGCCATCCACCCCACGGTTGAAGGCGACTCTGAGCAAGATAAAACATGCAAATCTTTCACAACTATAAATATAAAACGGATTAGAATTACAAAAATTAAAACAAACCAAAAACAGAAAGTTTGAAGGGGAGAGGTGGGGGCGCCAACCTCCTCCCTTCCGCCAAGAGCTGCTCCCTTCCGCCAAGAGCTGCTCCCTTCCCAGGCCTTTCCTGGGGGGCTGTGCATGCCACAATTTGCTTCTCTGGCTACTACACAACAGAGACCACATCCTGGAAGTCCTTGAGTACACTTGGAAGTTTAAAGTTAGACACCAACCCAGCTGGGAAAGAGCAACGCAACCCACAAATCTCGCCCCTTGTGGAATATTATCTAGGATATTCAATGATTTCTATGGTTCAAATCTCACATCTAATCCAGGCCTTTGCTTGATCGCTCGGCACCTCTATCGAGTGTATGCATTGTGTTTGTGTGCCCCACGAAAGGACTTGCCCTCCCCCATTAATAAATGCTGTTTGCTTTGCCTGAATTATTTGGGGGAGGGGGGTTCATATTTTCGGGTGGGCAAAGGAGCCCCCCTGCCAAGGACAAAATCTCTCTCTCAAATCCAGGGATCAGTTCAGGAGAATCTTTGTAGCTCAGGGTTGACCTGAGGGGTCCTTGGTGGTCCCTGGGCTTGGTTGCTTTCTTGCAAACGTTTCACAACCCAAATAGGTACCATCATCAGTGCTAGTAGGGAGTGGGGGTTTCCTCTCGGTTGAGAACAAACTGAGAGCAAACCCCGCTCCTAACCACCACAATGCTGCCTAGTTTGGATCAAGAAAACCACCACACTCAAGGGACCACCAGGGACCCCTCCCCAGGTTCTTATCAGCTCCACGCCAGACTCGGGGTGCCTGAGTTTGGAGGCAAGTGATCTGAGGGCTTGTCCAGGATAACGGAGCGATGCCCTTTGGGGCTCAGATGAGCCACCTTCGGCCGTAGGTGAGTTGACCCAGGCACCTTCGGAGGAGTCCGGCGACCAAGGAGGCAGGAAGGGCGCAATCCCTGACGGTCAGCCCTTGGGGGAGAAGTCGAGGGAGGGAATGAGACGGGGGAGGGGTGCGCCCCTCCGGAGCCAGCGGGCGCTCAGGACAAGGCACCAACCCAGCCGAGAAAGAGTTAACGGAACCCATAAATTTGCCACTTGTGGAAGGTTATTTGGCATGAAGGGTTTTCAAGTGTTCAAGTCTGGCATGCAATCGATGTCCTTGTGGGACTAAGTAGCCCTGCCCGTCCAGCAGGGAGTGGCCGAAGGAGAGTGGTCATCCTGTGCACGGGGAAGTGGACAATGTCCTGGACACAGGGAGAGAGGGGGCCAAAGTGGGGCTCCTTTTGCTGGGGACAGTCGGAGTGCAAAGTGAGCAGAAGCCTCCCCATCAAATGGACCTTGGGGTCCTGTGAGTGACAAGTCACCCAGAGAAAACCCCCCACCCTTGATCTGCCACACCGGTTCCCCCCACCCCTGAAGGGATGAGGATGACCTGGCGCCAGTCGTGCATCTTCCGGGGGGGGAGGGAGTTATAGGGGGAGAAGAGTGGGAACTTGGGGCCCGCAATCCTTGCAGGTGCTTCCCCCTGCAGATCCTTTGCCCGCTAGAGAAGAAGCGGAAACTGGTGCTGATGGAGCAGAACAGGTTAATAGAGCTGGAAGGGACCTTGTAGGTCATCTAGTCCAACCCCCTGCCCAAGCAGGAGAGCCTGCCCTCACCATTTCTGACAGATGGCAGCCCAGTCTCTTCTTGAAAGCCTCCACTTCTGTTCCATCGGTTGATTGTTCTCAAGCTGTCAGAAAGTTCCTCCTTATTTCCAGGTTGAACCTCTCCTTGGTCAGTTTCCATCCATTGTTCAGGTGCCCTGTGAGAATAGCTTGACCCCCTTCCTCTCTGTGGCAGACTGGGTTTCTGAAGGGGAGTGTATGAGCTTAGTGGGGTCCCCACTTTGTGAGAAAATCCACTAAACTGCAGACAATGGAACCACAGAAACCGTATGAAGAGGATGGCACAACGGACAGCCGTCAAGACCACCACAGAAGCAGCCGGGGTGTCCCCGGTCCGAATTGTATCACATCCACGTTTTCTTATTCAAAGAAAAGTTCTTGCAGGCTCGGGATGCCGGGAAGCTTTCCACTAGGAAAAACTAAGAAACAAGCCAATTTTTTTCCCTAATTTTTGGATAATTATGGTAAACAAAATTGACCAAATTGGGGACCCAGTTTGTGGGGGCAATAAGCTGACTTTGTATAAGTATACAAAAGTATGAAGGCTATTGCTGAGCACATTGTAAGACGCCCTGAGTCTCGGGAGAAGGGCGGCATATAAATCAAATTTAAAAAAAAAAAAACTTTAATTGTTGTCAACTGAAACTTTTGGAATTTTTTTTGCAGTCTTATTACTTTCTAGTAACCATCAATTCTCCAGAAGCTGTGAATGCTCCAACACTGGGCGTTTTTAAGAAGAGATTAGACAGCCGCTTGTCTAATCTGAAATGGTTTAGGGTCTCCCTAATGGCTTGAGCCAGAGGTTGGACTGGAAGACCTCCAGGGTCCCTTCCAGCTCTGTTCGTCTTTATTCTGTATTCGGCTCTGTTGGACTTCTGCATCTGTTGTTCCTTTTGCAATCTTCTTTTTGCTGCCAATGGGGACGGGACAGGCCGGGAGATTCTTCATCAACCCAAACAGCCTTTCTTTGAAAATGCTGTGCTGTGAAATAAAAGGCTTGGGCTAGGGCTCCACGGAGGGAAACGGTCTCCTCTTTCCCCTAAGTACCAATTGATGGGTGGATGACATGATGGCCTTTGATTTCGCTCTCCAGTAGCTCAGCCCAGACTAGAGTTTTCAAAGGGCTTCAACGGCCCAAATACACAAGGGGTGTTTCTGCCATGCTTCTACTAATCCAACCAATGAGGAAGCAGGGCGTTAAAATGGGAAGCTGCCCGAGGTAACCAGCCTAAGAGAAGAGCACTTCTACTGCCTGAACCGTGAGGTGGGAGGGGGTCTTGGGGGGGGGGTGTCCCAGTGAACAATCCCTTAAACATGAGCCAGCAGTGTGGTGCTGCAGCAGCCAAAAAATCCAATGCAATCCTAGGTTGCGTTATCAGAGGGATACAATCAAGATCACTGAAGTATAAATGATATATGTGGGTATATGCATAATTTTGCATTTATTTATTTTGTCATGTTTATGTAGTGTATATTGGAGGTGGTGATCCTTTGAGAGCTGTCTGCAACGAAATTTCATTTTAATGTATGCCAATTAGTTTACATTCAAAGTGACGATAAAAGTTATTCGAAGTCTAAGTGTTAGCAGCACTTTACAAGGCTCCACTTGGAATCCTGCATCCAGTTTTGGTTGCCACGATGTAAAAAAAGATGTGGAGACTCTGGAAAGAGTGCAGAGAAGAGCAGTGAAGATGATGAGGGGACTGGAGGCTAAAACACACGAAGAACGGTTGCTGGAATTGGGTATGTCTGGTTGGGTGGAAAGAAGGACTAGGGGTGAGATCAGAGCAGCGTTCTGATATCTCAGGGGCTGCCCCAAAGAAGAGGGAGTCAAACTATTATCCAAAGCACCTGAGGGCAGGACAAGAAGCAATGGATGGAAACGAATCCAGGCTAGAAATAAGGAGAAGTTGTGGTTGCTCCATCACTGGAGGCTTTCAAGAAGAGACTGGGCAGCCATTTGTCCGGAATGCTCTAGGGTCTCCTGCTTGATCAGGGGGCTGGATTAGAGGACCTCCAAGGTCCCTTCCAACTCTGTTATTCTCTTA